GGAGCTCTTTTGGTATCAAACAGGTTACAGGTTCCGCACTGAAAAAAGCATTATCTTTATCAAAGAGAAAACGCGAACATGTCTGTGGAAAACCCATTCCCGGCTCTTGAACCGAGGCAGAAATGAACTGGTTTGAAATCCTCCGAGAGTCCAGCTGTCAGAGGTGCGTGATGGCTGTAAGCCTGGGCCAGACGGAGCCGCAGTCACACACCAGCCCTGCGCAGCGCTGTATCCCACAGCAGCTTCACTCGGCTTCTTTCTTCAATGGAAACTGACCATCAATGCTGGGCTTGGAATCCACAACTGGCAGACTGGGTGCAGTTTTGATTTGTTCTGGGCCTCCAGGAACATATGCAGTATATATCTGGCGTATACAAAATCCATTTAAAAGAACTTGCGGTACCTAAAACTAATTCCTTACACTTTTCTGGACACGCCACTCAAAGCGCTTTACAGGTAATGGGGATCCCCTCCACACCACCAGTGTGCAGCCCCACCTGGATGATGCGACAGCAGCCATAGTGGACCAGTCTGCTCCCCACACACCAGCTCTCAGTGGGGAGGAGAGCAGAGTGATGAAGCCAGTTCATAACTAATAACCTAACATTATTTTTCCTGACATTTGTTATTCCTCATTTTGAAAACAAAACCTGCAATAATTCCTCCACTGCTAGACTTCTCCCACTCACAAGACACTCCATTTTCACAAGCACAGACACTCCATTCTGCGCAGACTTTTTTTTTTACAATATGCAATGAATACAGTACCTGTAGGTTAAGAGTCCTCATTTCCTAGACCACAAACACAAATGTGCTGACGCACTTATCTGTGCCTCTGTTTTTATTGATCACAACAACTGCACTGTAAGCACTTCTTATCATGAACCTTGAAATACACACAAAGGTAGGAGTCCTTTGCAGCTCTGATAATGAGAGGTATATAGTGCCAACTTCAGCTAACATATTCAGTGGCGCTATTTATTTCACAACATCTTCCTCTGTAAACACATAATTATGTGGCACTTCTTAATTTAAGTATTTTGTGCTGCAGGGAACACTGATACTGTGTTGAATAGATACATAACACATTCTTCAGCGACTTCATCAGATACTGTTTGTCACAATTACTATATTTTACATTATTTACAAAACTTGCGTAATCTTTTATCCATTACTATTTATATAAGGCAGACATTTTAACAGCGAAACCCTGTTTGACCACTTTTATCTAATCAAGCGCATTTCGCAACGGGCGACAGTTCCTAGGCGAACAGCTCCCACGCGAGAGGTCACAATCCCGAGGAGGCGAGGAACAGCGCTGGAGTCCGAGTTTCCACTGTGGGACGCCGGTCCTGGGTGGGCCGCGCACTCTGACTTCGAAGGAAGCAGCTCTTGCTCCCACACTGCAGGAAACTTTCTTTCGAAATCCTCTCTTTCTAGGTGCTGCCTTTGCTGGATCCGTTTTCTGCCTCCTGTCTACTCAAAGGATGAAAGTGAGGCGATTCCGCTCAGATGCTCGGCGATGACCATGCTGGCCATGCAGGAGAAACCCCACGCCACCCTGAGGCCCTGACTAACTTCACCACGGGGTGCCCCTCTTGACACTTCTCCTGCAGCTGCTGCGGCTGTTTCCACGTAAATCTTGGCTTTTTCACGACCGAACGGTTATTTTTTGTGTGTACTTGTGTCCTCCCCCCGCCCGGAGGAACAGGCAGTGTTGTACAGCACATAGGCGGCCCCCCCAGACGCCGGGCGTTTGCAAACAGCGCCACGGAAACTCCCGGCACCCGGGCCGTGACCGGGAAGACCTCGGAGACAGAGGGAGCTGCTCGGCTCGAAACAGGGACTCCCTCCGAGCCAGGGCAGAGCGGCACCCCGAAATATTCTCACCAACTCAGATATTGTCACTGCAGCATTCAGGCTTTTGACAGAGAGTGTCTGGTTTATTTACAGCTCACTGTCCTCTTTAGCCAGCTCACAATAACACAGGTGGTGAAGAATCCAATGTCCGACCTTCGGGAGGGGTTTCAGTATAAACAACCAGCAGAGCTACAGCTCCTCATCTCCTCACTCCAGTCCACCACACACCTGATACAAAAGCTACAACTTCTGCATGGTCTCACCAAGCCACATTTCTAACACATTACTCAACACAATAATGGAATTGTAGGTCTAGACATCTATACTGTACACACAAATATATACAGCAAACTATAGAATATGAAAGAGGTTTTGGAATATCGTTGGAACTGAAATGTGAAGAATAACAAAATGAAAATGAATATTCTTCGGAAATCCTGTGTAGTAAAGAGGGAATGGTGTCTTAAACACAGTTTTAAGAATCAAAGTTCTCAAATGTGACTTCAATTGTTTCAGGTAAACACAGTGTGGATAGCAAATCATCCCGATGACCCCAACACCTTAACAATATTTCCATATATATTTAAGTCAAAGAAAGGTCGAAGCAAAGTTTACTGTGAATGCTATGGACTGCAGATTCCAAGTTCTTGAATTAAATGGCAGGAAGTTTTGATCGGTGTCCTGGGCACTCCCAGCTCCCAAGTGGAATGCTATGGGATACTACATGACCCTGCTCCTCTTAACTGTGTTTCAGTCGAGGTAAACACGTCGAGGAGCTGGGAGCCCCCGACAGACCCTCTAGCAAGCAGGCAGAACTGAGGGAAGCGTGGTTCTGAGCCGAGACTCTTCTTCTGCAACAGCGCCATCGCCTTCATCATCTCACACGAACAACACACTGCTCTCCTCTGTGGCACAGTTCACATCCCTGCCTTCACACTCCCTCCACCTTCCTTTCCCACAGAAAAACAGCCATTTTCACAAGCTCTTTCTCCCCTACCCCATCCCTCCACCGGCAACCCCAGCCTACTGGAAACTTTATTTGGTTAAGCAATACTATTTTCCTATACGCAGAAGGCAAAATTACAAATGACTGAACATTCTACCCTTGAATAAGGAGCAAATATTGACAGCATTTGTCATGTATTTTATGCATTAATAATGTTCTATTTCAATTTTAGAGATGACTAAGGACTGACAATATTTCAATATAAGAAACATAACTGTGATGCCCAGGGGAGGTCTTCATTTTCTTGGAAAAGCTGTAAACATGCCACAACAAAGCCGTTTTAAGCAGCCTAAGTCATCAGGTGAATTTTTACAAGACCAAGCTGGGTGTCAGCTGTACCAGATGAATTGCAAAAACACACAGAAAAAAAGGTTAATTCAATTACATAAATCAACCTCAACATGTTTTGACTGGTGTAGGAGCTGTCGCTGACTTCCTAAACAATGTGTGTCCTAATGACTATACTGCTGCTAGATTAGCCTTTCCCAGCAAAACACAGAGGCTGCCACATCAGTTTCTCTGTTGCTACAGCAACTGCTTACTTTCCATGTCAACTGCAGCCCAGTTTCTATGGAGACACATACACAAAAAAAAATTCTTCTGCGCAGCCAAGGACCAGATGGCAGTGAACTGTGGAAGTCACATGGAGAGGCTTTAACATTCAGCCCGGCGCTGAAGGAAGGCACATTTCTCCACTCAGACAGCACAATGTAATTCCACGTCAACCAGAAAGCCTGTCCTCATTACTGGGTGAGAGGCTGGGATCAATATTGGATGAACCTGTAATATGCTGAAATCCTTTTGATTTGTTCTAGGAATACTGAAAGCTTAAAACAGCAGCCCACTAGTGTTTGCAAGCCAAGCCACGTTAAAGGTTTAAGGTAAATATTTGCGCTATAATTCCATGGCAGTAGACTCATCAAAAATAGCCCAACTGCCCCCACACTTATGATGCACTCCTACAACAAGGTGCAGTATTTTTATTGTTGCGCAATACTCTGTTCAGAAAGCTCAGAAAGTGGTGCCTTCAATAAAATTCCTTTTCCAAGTTCTAATAACCCACATTTTCATGAAAAAAGTATGATTTCATTTTTTTTCCCCAGGCACAGTTACTTCTCACTATTAGTTTATAAGCACACTTCTTTGTAAACTACTGTAGTTAACTCAATTATGCTTAAAGTGCTCAAAAGCAAACAGACGTTGGTGTGCGAAGTGAATCCAGACTCTTAAAATTAAGAAAATGCTATCAGGTTATGCAGTGTGTCAGTCACGTTTGGTCCAGTGGGTTATTTCTATCATACAACTCACATGAGAATTCCATGCAATAAGTCAACAGAATTACTAATTCCTTACTACATGCACACTTTTCACTAAGTAAACTCGTTACATTCTTAAATTGGATTCACCTAAAGAGGTATGTATTGGGAAATTTAGTTTCTAGCAGGTTTACTTTCATCCAGCTCATCATTCTGGTGAAAGTGCATGGTAAACTTTTAAAATATACAGTAGGTTTATTAAGTTGAGTTTAAGTTGCAGATGAGGAGATATACAAAGTACCAAATACGAATTACTATCTAAAGCTTACAGTCCTCAAAGCCCAGAAGATCAAAACAGAAAATGTTTTATTTGAATTAAGGCTGACAACTCTGCAAATGAAGACACCTTTAGTTAATCCTGCCGAAACATGAACTACTTTCACTTTCAGCAAACGTGCATTTTCAAAGCATTATTTCCTTCCTAAGTGTTCACAGTGACCAGTAATAAAGAAATAATCTGGTTTTGTTTCATGTTGACTTACAAAACTAAGTGAAACAAACTGAAGTTACAGAGCTAGAAAAAAAATCAGTTCAGAATTCCTGGAGGAGTTTAACAGGTTCTCAAACGCATATGTTAATTGATACCTCTAGTGTGGAAAGAAAACAGTACAAAAATAAAGCTATGATCATGATAAAAACATATGACAGCACCTGTTGCAGCAGTGCCAAAAACAATGTGCGATTGCCTTGGCAGGGTAGCGGAAGCAGGCGGGAACCTAAAACATATATATTCTGCTGCAAATGTCTCCTTAAACAGGCAACAGACAGGGAACAAATCAGATACGGACGCTTACAACACAGTGTAAAACAGAACCTACCTGACTCCTGTCCTTGTCCACCTTCTTGAAACACTTGTTCAGGGACAGGTTATGCCTCACTGAATTTTTCCACCCAGTGGGGGCGTTGGCGAAGTAGGGGAAGTGTTCGAGAATCCAGTTGTAAATGTCCTTCACCGGCAGTCTCTTGGCGGGGGAGTCCTCGATGGCCATGAATATGAGGCAGCTGAAGGAATAGGGGGGCTTGCAGTTGGGGTTCTGCTTGGCGTCGTAGGGCAGGTCTGAGTGCGCCGGGGACGGGGGGGTGTCGTCGTCGATCTCCTGGACGGGGCTTACGCTCCGCAAAACCGAGTCCCCGAAACTGTTGAGCAAGTTCTTGCTTTCGTGCAGCCAGTTCAAGTTCGTGAGCTCTTCGTCCTCCATGGGCCCCTTCTCCAGCTTGGTGGTCGGCAGTGACAAGTCCAGCTCCTCAGCTTCCTGGAGGGCCTTGGTCAGCGAGCTCCCCTGGTAATACTGGCTCAGGCCACTGGCAACACTGACACCCGAGCCTTCCGGCTTCTTACTGGGAGGCATGACTGGACCCATTTAGACCAAGACTCCTGCAGAGGAACAATGCGACAATCAGGCTAACATCAAGGAAACACAGCGGACACGCAGGACAGTACCGCTGCACAGCACCCAGTACCTGCTGACGGGTCCTGTTCACGCGCACCTCCTGGCCCACTGCCCACGCAGGAGTGGACAGAAGGAAAGGCCGTGGGAGAGACTGTGAAATATTACGGCTCAGGACTTTACGTCTACGATTGCAAAACCGAATGGGAACTGGGAACATGCTGTATGTATGTACAAATGCACACAGTGTAGAAGACCTTATTGTACATCCTAAAACACACGGATTCCACGTAAGAAGCGCACCTGGAGCTTTATTCATTTCCCAGCCTCAGTACATCGCAGTTCCTTAAGCACTGGTAAAAGAGCAGTTAAAAAAGAAATAAATAATTGTGTTGGCGCAGTGTTACAGAATTCAGAGAACACTAATTAAAAATGGATGCCATGTCTTTCAAGCCAAAATTAAGCCTCAACTTTTGACACGGCTTGAAAACATGCGATTATCACTTAATCCACCAATATTTTGATTGATTTATTTGCTGCTGTCACTGCCCTTCAAGCAGAGAGCTTTGCTCTCTATATTTAATTAAGGGAAGAGGCATGTTATAATGACTCTTATAATGGCTAATCCCTTGTTTTCTCAAGATGCACTAACCAGATCAGTCACTGAAAACAAAATAACAGCCTGTAATAAAAACCTATTGACTTTTTTCTACACTAAAAACCTATCATATACCAGAGCAGATTTTCAAAAAGTCCTTCAAAAAACAGTCTGACACGTTTCAATTCCTTCACAGGAGAAGAGCTCTGAGTGAAGACTGATGAGCAAAGAACAAAAGCAAACAAATAAAAATACCAGTACAAGTAAACAGTAACGTAGTCCAGATTCCCCGCTCATTGCTTCTTTTTGAAAATGTGCTATTTACTGTGAAACGTGCACTCGGACACCTCCTTACACTACGGCCGAAACGAGCGCGTGCGTCACTTTCCACTTCGCCCGACTGCCAGCCCTGCTGAGGAACAGGGAGCTGATCTTGGAGACGTGGATGGAAAGGCAGTTTCCAAAGTCTACTGCTCCATTCACTGCCATTTATATACTGTCGTTAAAAGGTACGAGACATCTTAAGACACAATTATAAGTTACAATATATTGTACACATGATCATGAGCATCAACACTTTCCTTAAAACCGCTCCTTGTAGCTTGTAGCGTTTTCTACAATTACAAAAACTTTGACTGTTATTAATACAGAGTAATTTGGGTAAGAACCAAGCTTGTCATTTATCAATCTTTTACTCCTATTGGTGGGTATCTTTAAAAAACAATGACCTCAGCTGAAGGCAAGCTATTCGTGAACAGCCAATGTGAAGCAGTGTAGTAGCCAATCCATCACATTTACAAATTAAATCTAACTGACTCGTTATCAGGTGTTCTTTGTCATTAGAACATCATTACATTCTCTCTCACACATCTAGAAACCTAAAAGGCTGATTTTGAACTACAAAGTACAGGTTTTAGGACTGGAACGATGTGGTTACAATCTCTGAAGATCACCTGAGACTTTCTGAAGATTTAGCCTGAGTGCTTCTGGCCAATGAAAACCCATCAAGGGAGAAGAGTAGGAGGAGAGAAGCAGAGAATGCCAACTGTCTGAAACTTTTACACAGCAGCACATCTGTTTGTCAAGGAAGTGTAAATTGTGCTATGTAGATACAACTGAAATCACCAATTGGTTGACACTGGATCTGAAGAGCAGGGCAGCACCCAATAAAACAAACCTAAATGTTTTTAACTAAAATTAAAACAACTTTAAAACTTCTTGTAGCACGGGCCTGATAAGTGTTTCTTTACTGAAGTGCACCTGGTTTCAGAACTTTTTACATTTCAGACCTGATCGCTTTAGAGGGGACTGATGCTAATAAGGAAGATAACAAGAAGATCGAAAATGAAGAATAGTGCTATTAATTTAAAAATCAAACAAACTGATTCACCAAAAAATAAAGGTGTTACATCCCTCTCTTAAAAACGTAAGTGATCCAAATTTGGCTCCAAATGTAAGTTCGAGTCCCATGAGCCTCTGAACAGGAAAATTATATTATAGCTGACAGTAAAGTAATTTAATTGCACTGTTGCCATGACGACGCACTGCTCTGTTTGTGCCTAATTTGTTTAACTGTTCGTAGCTTTCCACAAGAGACCTAATATTCCCATTATTCCCCAATCTAGTGTGTTATAAACTAACTCTTCAACGAGCCCCTAACGATCGGTCTCCCTAATGGACAAGGAAGCCCAGGTGAATGAGAAAACTATTTAAAAAAAAAAGTACACCGCCCTTTAAAAAAAAATCAGTCATAATTTTGCAATTGTCTTAGAGCAATAAAAACCTCCATGCCTACGTCCTTGACAGGAAAACTGCTGGCTAACGTGGTACAGACGATCCGATTGCGCTTCCATACATGGCCCTATAAGTTACGATGTCTCATACCTTCAAAATCAAAAGAAGTTAAAGATTAAAACTACAATTTCAGTGTAATCTCTGTGTCCATCACACGGAACGCAAAAGCCATTACACACGTTTGCTAAAGATTAAGTTTCCCCGCTGAGAAACGCAAACGTGAAGCCGGCTGACAACCAGCTAATGAAAACATGTTTCCTTGAGGTAGCGCAGAGCAAACGCACTGCTACATATGTGGCACTGAAAGTAATTAACGGCACGGAAAATGTTGCCGAACATCTGATCCCCGTTTCCCACGCCGCGACGAGAGCTTTAAGCCCTCTGTGGACTGCCGCGCGTCTCTCCTTCCCCACGCAAAACTTATCTCCTGACTTTCAGCTGCCCCCATTTTTTTGTATTCAGCCGGGAAAACTGTGGAGCCTGAAAAGTAGTTTTAATCCTTGCCGTGCTGTGCTCCACAGCACCCAAGTCCCGTATTATTATTATTATATTTGTTTTAAAAAAAAAGTTTCGGACGTACAGTAAGGGCTGGGCGGTCACCCGTGCCGTACTTCACAACGATACTTGAAAACTGAATATTTCAGAACAGACGCGTTTTTAAAACGCTATCCGCCTTCTAGGCACGGGGGAAAAAATGACCGAAGCGCAGTATCACACAAAGCACAAAGCTGTTTTGTTTTGTTTTTGTTTTTTGCTGATTCTCTTACCTGAACATCTAAGGGGTGACAGAAAATAGTCTCTTTGGAATCAAAGTTCCTGAGTGAATTCCTTTAAACCCGTCCATCGCATTCTCCCGCACTGCCCCGACAGCAGCCAGCCACACACGGAAAGCGCACGGTGCCGCAGGCAGCGTCAGCACATCTCGGCTTCTCCCGTCCCTCCTGCTAGACCGGCCGCCTGCGTTTGGTCTGCTCTAGCTGAAAAAGCGATAACTGTTCCCACTGCACATAAAAACAGGCCCACATGACCAGAGCGGGAGGCCGTGGGCTGGGCGCTTAGCAGGAGCTCCAGCAACTGCACAGACTGCGGAGACGGCAAGGCAAGGGGTTAGAGGGATGATTGAGCACTCCCGCCTGTCCGAAAGCCAAAACGCCAGCTGTCCGAGCACATCAGCGCCGGTTTCTCGCAGGCCTGCACGCCTCGGTCGCCAAGATGCGGCGGAAGGCTGTCAAACTGCTGGGAACCCCGAAACCGAGGAAGAACTTTTGCCCATATTGACGAAACCCATTTTTTTTTCCCAACACGTGGTACAAGCGTAATGGCTCCAAGCCTGCCTTCAGTAATGTGTTTGCCCGCGGTCAAACTAAACACAGCGGTACATACATAATAAAAGAGCATCTTTATGGGAGAAGGTGCCCGGTTCCACATGCTCCTCCGAAGATCTGGCCCTCAGGAAAGAGCTACTAGTTGAGATCCGGGCTTTCTTACGCGGTGCCCAACTCAAGGCTTTGGTGACTGTACTTGCTTATGTGGTACAGTCCAGGAATTAGCGTCTTTCAAAACAACAAGAAACGGATCTTGGGCTCCTCTGTTTTCCACAGGGCCTGTGCTGAATTGCGTTCGCCTGCAGGGCAGACGGGAAAATTCTTGCTCAAACTACAAACATGTAATTTCTCAATGGAGACGTCATGGTAAACACTATTGGCAGTATCTGAGCAGTACAATGTTCCTATGGCATGAGAGGAAAGGTTATTTGGCTTTTAAGATCTGCGTACAACAGCTAAGACATTTTATTGAGTTTCGAAAAGAACAGTTACCCCTCCCATGCACCACAGGGCACAAAATCACTTATATTCCTGTTCAAATTAACAGCAGGATCAATGCAATCAAGGAATTATTTTATCATATTAATATTCATGTTAAAACGCATTAAAGCTTGACAGTTGTTTTACTACAAGGAATGGTAACTGAAATCCAAAATGGATGAAGAGAAAGGAACTAACGTAAATCACCAATTATAGCAGCAAACTGGTCTGAAGGTGTATCTCAGTTTTAACAACAACAGGCTTAGCGTTTCCCGGGTTCTTGGCTGTGTTTCTGTTCTTTCCATTGCTAAAGTTCCCGACGTGTGAACAGCGAGAACAAGGTTTCCAATCATTCTTTCTGCCGAAACGCTGACGGCGGCCCGGAGAAGCAACATCGCAAGACGTGCGCGGCCCGGTCTCGTCCCCGGAGCCATTCCAAGCCTGGGATACAGGGCCTGGAGTCGGCACAAGAACGATACAGAGCACATCCGCGCGGAGCAGACGCAGCCTGCCCCTATTACAAGCCAACCCCTGCCAAACTGTCATTTCGCTGTTCAGCCAAACAGGGGACTTGTGTAATAATAACCACAAAACTCATTTAAACTCTGAAAAGGCGACTAATGAGCCCATTCATGGCGGCAATAAATTATTCACTAAACCACTGATCCCACTCAAGAGAAACGACTAAGTGAACTTTAAACACCAAGCAGCAAAGCACCTGACACCCGGAGAGCTTCTGGTACCCTACTGCAGATGGATCTGTCACAGAATCGCAGGAATGAAATACCTTGTTGTGTGTGAAGCCAAAGATGTAAGAGCATCCCGTCTGGGAAAGCGAGAAAAAAAATAGATGTAACAGTGTCTAAAATCTAAAACAGTAAACGATTTCAGTTCAGTATTTTTTACTCAGTCAACACTAGCAGTGAGAACTTGCACATCTTTACTGCAGGGAGATATTTAGCAGTGGTGTATAAATAAGGTTGATACAAGAACCCTAAATACAAACACACATTTGTAGTCCAGTTCCGGAAAAATTAAGAATTAATTAAGAAAAATCCCACATCATCAGCTTCAAGGATAACTGAATTTTTATTTAAAATTATGAAAACTGTACACAAATCCTGGAAGATAACCAAGACCAGCTGAAACAAAATCTAAGGCTGCAAAGATATCTGTCAACTCCCGGGACTTTAAGAATGCTAAAATGAGAAATCAAATTGGCAGCAGGAATTAAAACCACTCAGAGACAAGCTCAGGATAAAACAGCAAATAGCATGATAATGAAATTGCATTTGCTATAAATCGGGATGAGTGGTGATTTCCTGTACACTAGTCACAGCCAAATCTCCATGTTCAGTCTGATGACCCACTGGAATGAGAGAACAGGAAGAGGACCGTAAACTAACTGGGTATCAGAAACACAAACCAGAGAAGCTCAGCTCGGTCCTTCCCACCCGGAGTTCAATTACCTGTTTTGCTTTCATGAGCCTGGAAATCGGTCATCTGTTCTTCAACAGCTCTTTTTCTCTAGGCACTTTTTTTTTAAATTGGCAAACTTCAAACTAAACTCTGCAACTTCATGGGGCAGTGTGGAGAGCAAAAGAGCCTGAAATAAACCACACAGCTCCACAATCCACCCGGCAAGCCCTGACTCATCTCCTGGTGTTTACCTGACCGAATTCCAGCACCGCTCATGAAGGGTGTTGGCAGCAGTCCTTCCTTGAAAAGGTGTCACATGTCTTGCCCCAGTAACCTGTCTGGCAAGCATGATCGTCTTGCTTTTCATTGGTGGGACTGCGTTCTGCTTCCTGCGGGCTGTTCCACACCCTGTTGACTTGTTTCAGTAATAACAGTCAGAGCTGATGCTGGTTGATTCCAAAGAAAACAACTGGCAGGCACCCTTGTATTCCAGAGAAAATCCTAATTTGTCAGATTATCAAATCTGAACCTGAGGAAATAGTGAAACTGTACTAATCTCCTTTTTTGTCTGGAAGAGTAGAGAAAGTTAACTAAAATCCAAACCGAACACGCATTTTTATTATCATGTTTACATATGTTACTGGTTGCGATTTCGGCATATGAAGTAGTTTTTAAAACTACACCTTTTCAAACTTGGAAGTCTTACAATTACACCCAATATCAATGTTTTCTGCAGAGACATTACATGCCGGTTAAACATTTCTACAGTAACAATCTCTGTGGATAAAGGGGGGCATTTTTCAGGGCTTCTGGACACAACTATACTTCCTATAACAAGGGGAAACACAAGTTATGGTGTTTAAGTAGATTTATAAATGTGTCACAAGCAACATGCTTATTAACATATTCAGTATACATTATTGTATAGGGTAATGTTTTTTGTGACACATAGATGTCTAGTACTCCAGGGTATCACATCCTTAAAGAACTTAAAGAAAAAAAAGGACAGCAGATACAGGGACGTCAAGATTTAAATTTAAGTTTTACAATTTACTGAATAAAAATGAGATTATTCAGAACAAACTTATAAAATATATTAAATCGATTCTCTATCAAGTGGCAGCCAGTCTCTTGACATCTCCAAGTAAATATGATCATAAATGTCTGAAAAGAATTCTATCTCTCTTTTTTAAAAACCAGCTTGATTACAGTCGCACACCATAAAATTGACTAAAATCCCTTTGGCAAAGAAACAAAGGCATAAATACTTGAGGTCAAAGTACCTTTTCTTCTATTGTCAAAGTAAAGACCTGAGGCGTTTATTACCTTATCCTTATCTAACCCTGGAGGACTGCAAGCTGAAAAATGTCTGATTCTACCAGCTGTTATCCAAAGGCCTTCAGCTAAGGACTTCCAACAGCCACTTAAGACAACAAGACTAACAGCAATACCCAATCACTGGAAAATTGCTCATGTAGAACTTATCCATAAACAGAGCAACAAAACCACTGTAAACAAACAGGTCTTATGTCTACAAGGTTCTAGAAATGATAGTGGCTCAAATGGCAAATGTGCTGACCCAGGCGATCATGGGTTCGAATGGGACGCATCGACTGTGACCAGGATTCCCCCGAGGGCAGGTGCGCAACTGGCCGCGTGCTGCCGCGGGCGGGGTGGGATTAGCCGGCCAGGGCTGTCCCCACTGGCCACGACACGGCGCCCCCTGTGGCCCCCCGGGAGCTTGCAGGCTTGCAATGCTGTGGGTGAGGGTCAAGCATGACCCTCCAGGAAGGGCCTCTGCTGCCTGTGACATGCTGAAAGATAAGTGGCTGAAGGTGGGAGTGTCATAGAAGTGTGACTGAACGTCCTTATTCTCCCCCGTGTGCGGCCACAGGGTTTGTAGCTGTGAGCTGAGTTAAGAAAAACTCACAATAGGGTAATCCGAATCAGATTGGTGTAACAAAAATAACCAGTATCGCTAAATTCAAATGACAATGTTGAACTCAACATTGATTTAGAAAAGGTAGGTTTTGCTTAATTAACTTGAGGGTTCTTTGAGCAAGCAAAAGTAGTAATAGATGCAAACAAATAAAAGTATGTGATGTGGTGCATTTCAAAGGGCTTTTGATAAAGGTTCCTCATTAAAGATTAATTCTCAAATTACGTGCGGTAGGCTTTCAAGGTAATGCAAGTGGTTTACGAACACATTAATAAACAGTAAACAGAGTATCAGTAACAGTTAAGTTACTAGAGAGATTTGTATTAGGACCACTGCTCTTCATAATTGATGTCAATGACCTAGATTCCAGTACAGTTAATAAACTAATCAAGTTTGCAGATGATACCAAAGTAGGAGGATTAGCAAACATTATAGATGCTGCAAAATGAAATTCCAAAAGATTTAGACAATTTAAAGTGGGCACACACCTGGTGAATGGCGTTTACTATAGACCAGTGCAGAGGGTTACATGCAAGTAGCAAAAACATACCATCTGAAAATATGATGGAAAACACTGAGCTTGAAGAAGCTACCTATGAAAAATACTCAGGTGTTTATGTTGACACATCAATTTGCATTGTCTAGACAATGTGGGAAGGTGATAAAAAAGCAGACAAAATGTTAGAATACAAAGATGAAAGTATGGAATTTAAATCAAGCGATATTGTGTCACAATTGTACAATGCAGTAAGAAAACCACATTTAGAATTTTGTGTACCATATTATAACCAAGTTACAGACAAAATACATTCCCAGACCTAAAAGAATCTCCTGCACTGACAGGCTAAATCTTTATGGTATTGGAAATGTAAGTATTTATAATTCTGAAAGGCACTGACAAAGTCAACACAGTGGACTTCTCCTGAATCAACAGTGAAACGCAAATCAGAACACACAGGTGGAAAAGTGGAAACTAGGGGGAAGTGCACTTAAAACTGAAAACAGGAGGATCATTTCCACATAAAGGGTTGTAGGAGTTGAACAAGCTACTCAGCCTCGTTTTCCAAAGTGACACCCTGTCTTCTTTCAAAAACTGTGAGTTAGATCATCAGATCAATTAGCTACTAACTACCTAATTGGCTAG